AGCCCTTCCTCCCCCCCCCCCCCCTACAGAAGAGGAGGGGTCTCGAATCATCATAAGAACCTTCCCCTGTCTCAAAAACCCCTGCATACAAATGTTCACGCCGATCGGTTCAGTAGTTTCCGAGTATATAAGGGTCAGACTGACAGACAGACAGACAGAAATTCACTTATATATATATAGATAGATAGATAGATAGATAGATAGATAGATTTAAAACATCTACTCATCTAAGATGTTGGTTTAAGCTTCATATTTGCATGTTTTAATAAACTTATTTTCACTGCTACACAGATCGAAAAAGTAGTGTAAATTTCTGTTCAATATGATGCACATAAATGGAGCGTCACATATCATATAAGTTTACATTATATATCATGTAAAGTTATGAGACATTTCATGCAATGTAGCAAATATTGTATGCAAAAGCCCATTGTTGTAAACAATATTTTTTACAAGTTGCGCAGTTGCGTGAAATGAAATACAAGTTTACGTGAATGAATGTTTACATCACTATTAAAATTCAGAATTTTTATCTGTGTAGAGGTAAAACATCTGGCAACGCTTGTTCAATGATTCTTTTGCGTTCGCGACACGGCAATGAAGTGGAGTTGAAGTGATTTTCTTGGTGTCTTATTTTGTTCACCAAGAGATCTGACCTCCAGTTTATATTAATATTGTGTATTCGATTACGTGAAATTGTGGAATGCTACGAAGAGTTGTAAATGTAAGTAAATGCAGTGATGGTGTTTGCCTAGAAAATATACGGTGTAAAATCATGAAATACTTGCTATACATTTTCGAATGGCTTGTGTGTGAATGTATGTGTATACTAAAGATGATAATTGAACAATATTTCAAAAACAAGAACAATCCGAATTGAGTTTATTCGCTCAAATGAGGTTTGAAAATGATTTTCTGAACATTGATCTTGATCATATGCCTCACATGATTGTTCAATATTCATTAATCATAATCATTGTAAATAAACTCATCAATGCACAATCTTTCATTAGTCAAAAAGTCCTTAGATTTAACGGTTTCTATTTAAAATCCACATGGAGTTTGCTATTGAGATCAAAGAAATATTGAAACTCGATTATAAAAAAATCCTACTAGATTTCATCCCTGAACCACTGTGCAGTGTTTGAAAGTTCTCATGAGGCCCGCATAAGGCAGAATGGGTCAATTAATTGGCTTTTTTTTTTCCTTGGTTTGTTTTCCGTCGATCTTGTTTTCCGTGCTGAGCACCAATGCTACCGACGCCAGGAAGGCAGCTCCCACACCTGGACCCTACCTATCGACCCATTATTTGGCTTATTGATTACAAGGGTTTGGCATTTTGCACCAGTCAAAATGCTCAGGACACATGAAGAATAATGTTAGCCAACTACACACTAAGATTTCTTTACAGTATACCGTAATTTTTTACCGAATATGGAACAGCTGAACATTCGGTAATCTATTCGGTAATTTTTTTTATTTACAATCCGTTCGGTACATTTTGTTCCCTTGTGAGCTGTCAAAATGTACTGACCAGGACTGTAAATTTTGCTGAATGATCGGTGAAGTTTGCAATATAGCGTTCGGTATAATTTTACCGGATTGGCTGTACTTAATTTGCCTGAAATAATCATTAATAACATGATTGTTATTGATTAATTAATTATTATTTCTGTCAACAAACCTGAAGATTCATTTGACTAATCATTTATTTATTATCTATAAACATAAATTTTCAGCGTGCGTCCGTATATAGAGTAAATTAGAACCTGACCGTGGTTAGCGACCCAGTAGCGAACCGCCCACAAATTTGCTTTTTGCTGTTGTGGACGAGGTTTGTGTGTGGCATTTGGCCATTTAATGTCCATGTCGTCTGAAAGCAATTGGCCCAGAAACGAAAAAGAATTATATAATTAATACTTTCGATATAAATTGGACGGATTATAGGAAAAAATTAACGTACTTACTAGTCACAAAGGATAGCTGAAGAACACTCAACTTCAAAATAACAGCAAAGCTTTACAGTGTGAAGTTTACAAATCTGTCCTGTATTTTTTACAAAAATCTGGTACATTACTGCTGTTTGTTTTTGTAAAAGATTATGTTTACAGCACATTCGTCACAATTTTTACGGTATTGCGGAATTGCAGCAATTTACAATTTAGATCTGTAATTTTGATTTCCAGTTTTCGGTAGATGTCTATAAATTACGGAAATTCAGCAGTTTTGATTGCGGAATATTGGTAAATCATTACTTTTACAAAGCTTTCGACAAAAATTATATTTTACAAGCGATTCCAGCAAAAAAAAATGTACCGAACAAGATTTAAGAGATTTGGTGTGTACATTATTCCATTCATAATCCAAACCAAACATATGAGTATGCACACTTTGAAAAAATCATGTTAATGTAGATGCTCTGAGAGTGACATATACGAGCTTCAATTTTGACATAAATTTGAGTCATAACAGACGCGACATAGGGTAGAGCACTACTTCGTCGTAATCGCCCATTTCCGTTCTATCGATCAGAAAAGATCAATAATATCAGTGATTTCACCATGCACAAATCAATAAAAGGTTTGTTCCGATGCATTAGTTCATTAGCTACAACATAAATCCTGTAAGAGCGCATTGTATAAATGTTTACGTTCATTGTTCTCAAAACAAAAGAAGCGCTCCTAGCGAATCCCCTTTTTCTACATTTATCCGTACGACGAAGAAAATCTAATGGCGTTTCAATGCGTTAGGACGGAATTGAAACTCGTAGAACGAATTTAGAATCAAGAAGCGGTATTAGATTTTAAACAATATCTCAACAATTTGTGACTCTTTATCAAATCTAACAATATGTATGGAAAGGTGAATAAATTTAGGAGCCATCTTTGACAGAAATATTCATTTTTTTGTTAAAATCCGTTCAAAAAAGAGAGGTTAAGCGCGGGTTGTGCTTAGAAGGTAGGAATCAAAAACCCTGTAGCTCAATCAAACGTACTTTTCGTCGAGCAACGAACTTTTCAATCTCGGAGCACTCAACATTGCAAGACATGTTTATTTACGTCTCATCTTTTATGTCAAAGACGAATTCCGTCACGTGTAAATTAGTTATTTCTAAGTGTATGTGCTAAAAATCATACAGGTGTCACGCAAAATTATTAAATGGTCTATATAATAATTTTGCGTGACATCTTTATAAACCTGTATGAATAGGCTTTATGCTGCGGGGGGTTTGGTGACGGTGTAGTGATATTAGTCACATCGGGTGAGATGAGTCTCCGTGCAAATAAAATGGAGAGTCATCTCACCCGGGGTAATAATTCTATACAAAGCTGGAAAAAGCGCCTATCTGCTTTGAACGATTCTCTTCATAAACTTTCACTTTCGTTAATAACTCAGCTGCAACAATATTCCCTGTTGTATTTGACGATTTGGACGATACATAATGTAATACTTATGAATATTTTAGGTGGACAAAATAGCGAACTAAGAGGTGGACGCCTGAGCTTTTCGAAATTTATATCGCTGTGAAGCACCTGTAAACTCTAGAGGGAATTTATATCTGTAACTGAAACCAGTTCGATTTTGTTTGCTAACCTGGTTAAAATGTCATATTTAATTATTTGAAAGATAAATCGTACAGATCAAATCTGTGTAGGGGTAAGAGGTGGGGCCATCATCATCATAAATAAAAAACTTATCTATCATGTATATGGAAAACATAGTGCATAGCCGTGGTTATCAAAAGAGAAAGTCAATGAAGAGAATCGATCGAAGTCTAAAGGCTCTTTTCCAGCTCTCACTAGTGACAGCGAGTTACCGCACCTCACACGCCGCACAGAATAGACCTAAAGGAAAACTCACATTGGATCCGTTTGCGTTGCGTTGACGTAAATTTGACAGTTAGACAATAGATTTAGCTGTCACTTTGCCGCAACGCGTCAGATCCGGATCTAATGTGGGTGACCCTTAATAGTTTACCCATAGATTTTAGTTAATTAAATAATTAAAATTATCAACAAGCCATCACCATGAACCTTAATCATCAGTCAGACTTTAACGCTCTAACACGAGATTTCGACTGCTGTCAACTTTGTATCTTTTGAAGCACTTCCACAGTTATTAATCAAGAGTTTTACCTGCACATAGGTACAATAGAATAAACGTAGTTATTTTCGATCCAGCACTAGTTTTAGACCCACCCATATACATTAAAAAAAAAATCAATACATTCACACTTAGAAATTATTACCACCTTCGGTATTTTTACCTAACTATCAACATTTTAATTCAAAACACTGTCAGCCTTGATGATTTAAAGTTTTGCCATGGCGTTGAAGTTTTTTTTTTTTTGAAGCTCTGAATCTAATGAATTAAAATGCCTGATTTTTACCGAACTGTTCAGCGGTTGAAATTTCGGTAAAAATTCTCGAAGTCTGTTATGATTTCTAAGTGTATAGTTTTTAACTCATAAAGCGATTTTTTCGATGTCAATACGTCAGATGCATTCAAAATTGGCAAATTGTGCTTTCATTGAATGAAAAAGTTTTATTTGTTGCGTGAAAAGATTAAATTGAATTTGTATGTTGTATGGCAAGTATAATAATACTCTACGCCCAGCGGATATGAACTATCCTACGGCTAAAAATCTCATAATAAATCAATTAAAAAAACTCTAAGCCCAGGGAAATTGAGAAAATTTCCAACCACCCAAACCAAAACGATTGTCTATTATTACATATTCTTGTACCCCATAAAGACAAACTTTGTGGAGGCGTCCAGACATCTCGATAAATCAAACCATCATACAAAGCTCTTAGTACCGTAAATTTTACCATTTCACTAATTGAATTGAACTCGTGTCCTACTGTGCACCATCGTGTGTCATCAAAGGCTTTTATTCAAATCACTTATCGACTAACATCCCAGTGCATGCTTTCAAACTGAGTACCTATTATTCATCGCTTCCAAAAGTCTCCTCCGCCACCACTAGTCCCTCTTACCTAGTCCTGGTCAGCTCGACGCTGTCGCCGAGAGCAATGCTCGATTTCTTCAGTATCCGATTCATGTAGCTCACCAACTTCAGCATCACGCAAGAGCTGTTATCCTTTTGAGTACACTTGGCACCCAAGCGTTTCACAAAGGACTCCTCCAGGGCCGTTTTGCTGGCCGTTGTCGGTGCCTTCACCGGTGTTGGATGTTAATTTGATCCGGATGACAACGATGAACGATGAGATTTTCATGCAACGACAACAAAAACACTCTTCATTAATTTTAATTTACGCTTCATCACTAGAATCATTCTGTTGTTTGCTTTTCCAACAACACCAAAAATGGCGAAAATGGAGACACTCTTTCATACCACATGATTGATGGGGGCACCGTTATCCACGGCAGGATTAGCGCAAACAGCTGCCACTAGCACGCATATCAACAGGAGAAATCGTACCACTTTCATTTTCGTTCGAATCGTTTTTGATTGCCTTTACCGAGCGGATCACGTCACCATTAATATAATTAGACTACAAGAAGAATGTTTTCAACACGTAAAATCGTCCCGTGACACTCTTACTCTTTCCTATCCGGCGATTGTCCGTGACACATGCTGATCTTGAACTTACCGAACCAAAACTGCGTAGTTCCGTTGGGATGTCGTATTTATAAGAAGGCCACTTTGGCCAAGCGTCGCCTCCACCACCGCCATCATCTTCCTTCTTAACACTCTTACCGTCAATCGTCGCCGGCATACCTCAACGGCGTGTAAAAATACGGGAAAATAGCAAACTACATGTGTAACCAGCATGCGACGACGACGACGACGATGACTATCTCGAACTCCAGTTGTCCCACTCTGACACGCTGCATAGCCGGGAAGATGCAACTAGTTGAGCTTAATGTTTTGCAAAAAATTGCGCCAATAATTTTCTTCTCTTTCTCCGCTTAATCCATTACAGGCACCAGCAAGCAAAACAACGTGTGAGTACCTACCAATAGCAGCATGAATAAATGGCAGGAACCTGCTTTTCTGGACAGCACTTGAATGAGTGCAACGCGAAAAAAAATCCGGTTGTCGCTTCTTCATACTGAAGAGAACCAACCACCACTAACCGCTGGCTGTGATGTGGTTTAAGGGTTTGGTGGCACATGGTGAATCGCAAACAATTGAGGACTTTGATCAGAAATGTTGCCTTGTGAAAGTTTTTCACAGCCTTTATGAAATGTATTTTCGATGTGCTGGTTGGTTTGAAAATATCTTCTACAGTGTGACTTATTGTCTTGATAGTTTGAATAAATGGAACAGTCATGCAAGCTATAGCACGCAAAAATTTAGGCTTTCCAAACGTTACATTTATAATCGTGGAGATGCTCAGAGAACACTCATGTAATAAGAGCACTTATCTTAAAGAAGCTTTTAAAAATACTAGAGTAAACCTAGAAGCGCTATCTGATCTCAACGAAAATAACTCATCTATCAATCATGCTACTCAATACCTGGGTCGTGTCAACTTATGTTAGATATCGAGATCAAAGTTGTTCAGTATGTCATAGATTGTCATTCGACATTACCATATTAGTTCCAGATTGTGCCATAGAGATGGCGCAGTAGTCTACCTTCGTTAAATGGAGTTCAAGAGAGTTCCCGACTTGGGCAAAGTTGTCAAGGATTGTCATTTGACATTATCAGATTAGTTACATATCGTCCTGCATAGATGACACTGCAGTTGATTATCGCTAAATAAAGCTCTAGAGCGTTTCCGTCTTCGGTTTTTTTTTTTTTCAAGAAATGAAATATTTCAACCGTTGATATAAGATCAGATCATCCATGTGTTGTGGTTACTACTTTGCTATAAAAGATCGAACCTACTGTGAGCTACTAGAAGTGTACATACCTTCTGGAGGTGCCATGAAATGGATCACCATTCAAATGGTTTGGCATATTTTTTTAAATAAAGAACGTGGAGTTTAAAAGATTACCTTTTCCAAAAGGGAAAGGCAGAATATCTATTTAACTAGATTAAAAAACCCCGAAAACAAAAAGCTACCGAAGAAAGAAATACGGATCGGAACAATCGGCACAGACCTACGCGACGAAATAAGGACTACACACACGAAACCGAAACCGAATTTTTTGTCAGTGCAAACCTCAACCTGAGCTAGGTTTTAAAAACAAACGATCAATCTGACGTTTGTCAGAAAACAAGCAGACCCAATCTTGATACTCGATCCAGGTTGGAACTGAATAATAACCGAACTCGCTAATAGAAATACCTAATCTTACACCTGATGGAATCCATCTTTGACATAAAGGATGAGACGTAAACAAACATTTCATCTAAAATTAAGTGCTCAGAGACTGAAAAGTTCGAAAGTACGTTTGATTGAGCTGAATTTCGCGTCTATTATGGCTCAATTTTATGTCGAAATTAACGTTCGCGCATGTCATTCTGAGAGCACCTAAATTTACATCCATTTTTCTAAGTGTGTACGACTGGAAACTCGGAACATGGAACTGCAAATCGCTCGGCTTCCCGGGCTGCGATAGGTTAATCTATGAAGAACTTCAACCACGCAACTTCGAAGTCGTAGCACTGCAGGAACTTTGCTGGACGGGGCAAAAGGTATGGAAAAGCAGACATCGAGCTGATACTTTCTACCAGAGCTGTGATACCACCAACGAGCTGGGAACCGGCTTTGTAGTGCTGGGTAAGATGCGCCAACGCGTGATTGGTTGGCAGCCGATCGCAAGTTGAGGATTAAGGGCCGTTTCTTAAACTACAGCATCATCAACGTGCACTGCCCACACGAAGTTAGGCCTGCCGACGAGCAAAAAGCGTTTTATGCGCAGCTGGAGCAGGTATACGACGGCTGTTCACAACGGGACGTCAAAATCGTCATCGGCGACATGAACGCTCAGTCCTATCTGGCAATGTATAGACCGGAAATCGGGCCAAACAGCCTGCATGCCATATCGAACGGCAACGGCCAACGATGCGTGAACTTTGGAGCCTCTTGGGGTATGGTAGTCCGAAGTACATTTTTTCCCCGCAAGGATATCCACAAAGCCACCTGGGGATCACCTGACCAACACTCAGAAAACCAAATGGATCACGTTCTAATCGACGGAAAATTCTTCTACGACATTATTAACGTCCGCACGTACCGCAGTGCGAACATAAATTCGGACCACTACCTAGTTGCAGTATTCATGCGCTCAAAACTCTCGACGGTGCATAACACCCGTCGAAGTCGAACGCCGGGACCCAACATTGAGTAATTACGGGACGCCAGAGTTGCCAGGACTACGCGCAGCAGCTGGATTCCAAAATAACGTCTGGCATCGATTTCTGGCCTCTACACGTCGTTCTCTTTCCAAAAATATCCATATTGTAGGGTATTTGACAGTTTTTCTTGAACCGATGGCCGCCATCTTGGATTCCAAAATGACGTCTGGCATCGACTTCCGGCCTCTACACGTCATCCCTTTTCCGGTCCTGTTCTCACATTGCAAAGCAACATCTTATATGGACAAGCTTTCTAGACATAACATATTAAGGAAGTTTATGTGCACACTAGCGCCCCGTAGTATGAGAGTTCTGAAATAATATGACCATCATCCGAAAGGATTAAGTCACCTGAACAACTTTGCTGAAGACAGTTACCTTCTATATGGCCAGGTTCGCGAGATACAGCTTATACAGGAAATTCACTTGCACACTAGCGTCGCGTAGTGAGCGTGTTCTGAACTAATATGACCATCATCCAAAAGGACTTGATCACCTGCACAACTTTGCTGAAAATAGCAACTTTCTATATGGCCAGGTGCTCGAGATACAGTTTATATAGGAATTGCACATGCACACTAGCGCTGCGTAGTGAGAGAGTTCTGAACTAATATGGCCACCATCCAAAAGGACTTGGTCACCTGAACAACTTTGCTCAAGACAATAACTTTCTATATGGCCAGGATCACGAAATATTCTATGTTGGAAATATGATCCATATATTATAGCGCCCGTCATAGATAACATAAAAGTGAAGCGCCTCTAGCGGCGTAGTTCCCAATTTAACCTGAATCCAATGGCACAGGCTTGTTGGTCTTACCCAGTACAGTAACTTTGTCCAAGACAGTATAGCTTTATGTATTGAAACAAATGAGATAATCCACTACAGCCCCCATTAGTGAAAATCCCATAAGCTGTGGGTATCCTTATTCGCGGATAGCCCGGCAATAAGGATCCGGTAATAAGGGATACCGGCAATAAGGAATCCGGCAAAAGAATTCCTGACTGTAATTCAATCAAACTCGCTCACGCTCTACAGTACCCTGGCTGCTAACCGCTTAATACAAAGGTAACACACAAGGAAGAAGTGTTAGTTTGTTTACTAAAATGAACAATGCCCATTTTGTTATGGCAAGTTTTGCTATAAGAAATGCTCCTCGTATTTATTAACGAAATTCACATCAAAGATTGATTAATTGCGTAGGAAATCAGTTTGGCACGGCATTTGTGACCAGCATACACCTTCCGGTCGTATGAAACAGATTAAAAACTGTCCAAATCAGCCCATACATTTTTTTGTTTTGAATTTCTGTATGGCAAAATAGTGAACTTTTCGTGAACATTAACGGCAAAGAACTCACCAACACTGGGAGACCGTGAGCTTTTGCCCACCTGTCATAAAACCATCTCGTCCTGGCTGGACTTAAGCTGGGTTTAGACTAGGCAAGTCAAATGATCAACTCAGTTGAATTCAATTGGCTTGAAAAGTTGAGCCTGGCTTAACTTTTTTCAATTCAAGTGAGTTGATCAAGTCAGTTGAATGACATGGTTTACACGTTCAATTCAACTTGGATTCAACTGACCTGATCAATTGACTTGCCCTGTCTAAACCCAGCTTAATGTCGTTAATCGTAGTGCGCTTCGGTTGACATCATTCTCATTCCTTTCCACCTTCTTTCTGAGCGTAGCATTTTTCTGAGGAGTAGAATGCCTACTGCCAAATCATTCCACTGAGCTTCAGAGCTTGTGAGCGAAGGGGATAGTGAGTGAGTGAGGATTGCTGCCATTTATGTTCATGTTTTCTATCACACGCTCTTACAGCGAATTTGTTTATTATCGGGGTTAACACCAGGTCCAACCCAGTGCGAAACCGAACTTTTTGTCAGTGTGAACCTCAACCTGAGCTAGGTTTTAAAAACAAACGAGCAAACTGACATTTGTCAGAAAACAAGCAGACCCAATCTTGATACCCGATCCAGGTTGGAACTGAATAATAAACGAATTCGCTATTACTCTCACTCTGGGTGAACTCTGAGCTTCTTGCGTCGAACAAAAAAGTCATCCGGAGTCTTGAAAAGCGCACCTCACGTCAAATCATCCTCTCGCTGAAGTTCACTCTCCCTCTCTCTAGAGGAGTTTTTGATTACTTCTTCGATATTCCTGCCGCCACTCACTCGAGGTGAGGGCTGGCTAAACTCGCAGGACAAGAGTGTTTCAAAACCTCCAGTGAGTTTGAGGAGTTTCTGCAAGCCTGACTTACAAGAACAATTTCCAAATCACTGATAAATAATAAGCTGAACCTTTTACTTTCCAATTAAATCCGAGTCTAGATCCGAGTACTGAAAAAAAATCACTGATGAAAACT